TTCCCTTTCCAGAGCCACCTCAGCCCACCACTTCCATCATGGGAATTATTGCTGGCCTGGTTCTCCTTGGAGTTGTGGTCACTGGAGTTGTGATCTGGATGAAGAAGAGCTCAGTCAGAGAAGGGGATAGGGTCTGAGTTTCTTATCCCACTGGTGGGTTTCAAGCCCCAGGTAAGAGTTTGTTCCTGTCCTGCCTCACTACAGAAGACACCATCTGCACACCCACGCCTACCCGGTCTGGGGCCTTGTGTGCTAACACTTACTCTTATGTAAAGCACATGTGAACATGAAGGACAAACATTTGATTTTGATAATTATGGTGATGGGAGGAAAGTCTCAGCAGTCACAGGTCAGAGGGGAAGGTCTCTGCTAAGGACAGACCTGCAGGAGGGTAGTTGGTCCAGTCCCCACACATCTTTACTCTTGTTTCTGGATCCTGTCCTGGGTCTGGAGTCACAGTTCTGGAAAATTCCCTGGGGTCCAAGACTAGCTGGTTCCTCTAGAACTTCATGGCCCTGCCTCCCCCCTGGTCTCTCACAGGATCGTTTCTTCCCACAGATGGAAAAAGAGGTGTCTTAGTCATCTAGTGCTGCTATAACAGAAAGACCACAAGTGGATGGCTTTCACAAAGAGAAGTTTATTCCCTCACAGTCTAGTAGGCTACAAGTCCAAATTCAGGGCGTCAGCTCCAAGGGAATGCCTTCTCTGTTGTCTGTGGAGGAAGGTCCATGTCATCAATCTTCCGTTGGTCTGGAAGCTTCCCTGCACAGGAACCTCAGGTCCAAAGGACACGCTCTGCTCCCAGCACTGCTTTCTTGGTGGTATGAAGTTCCCATGTGTCTCTGCTCACTTCTGTCTTTTATATCTCAACAGAGATTGGCTTTAGATGCTATCCAATCTTGTATACCTCATCAGTATAACTGCCGCTAATCCATCTTATTAGATCATAGTGATTGAATTTACAACACAAGGAAATCACGTCAGATTATAAAATGATACACAGTTATACAATACCGAGAATCATGACCCAGCCAAGTTAACAGATATTTTGGGGGGACCCAATTCAATCCAAGACAAGAGGGAACTATGTTCAGACCCTTAGGACAATGTAGAGAGGAACCCATTAGCCCCTGAACCGCACCCCATAATTCTTTCTTTAGTCTCATCTCCTGTGAGCTCTGACCAAACCCTGTTCTTCAGGTGGTGACAGTGCCCAGGGCTCTGATGTGTCTCTCACAGCTTCTAAAGGTGAGACCCTGGAAGGCCTGATGTGGAGGACGGGCTAGGGTAGAGGGGAAATGACTAGGTTATGGGGGTTTGGAGATTTGGACATTTTTGGACATTTTGAGCTTGTGGTGAGCTGTTCAGCCTATCAACACTTACAGTGACTGACCTGTACTTGTCCTGATTCTTCTGTAGTGTGAGATCACTGCCTTGTGTGACACTGAGTGATACAAGATTTGTTCACATTCCACTTCGTAAATTCAAGAACCCCTGACTTCTGTTTCTGCAAGTGATGTCTGAATGTGTCTGTGTTCCTATCAGCATAATGTGAGCATGTGGGGAGACTAGCCCACCCTTGCCCAGCAGGACCCCCTCCCCAAACTGACTTGTGTCCTTTCCCTGATCAATGTTCCTGTTCCAGCAGAGGCAGGGCTAGAACTTCTCCGTCCTGTCATAACTTTGTGTTGCTCTGAGCTGCAACTTCTCACTTCCCTACTGAAATTAGAATCTGGATACAAATTTTTTTCAATTTCTTGCTAAGAGGCGGGGTTGATGGGTTAATTAAAGGTGAGGAATACTCAAAATTTGAGAGAGGAAATAAATGGAAGACCGGAGAACCTTCCAGAATCTGCATCTTTGCTATGCTGATTCTGTCACAGGTGGGGACAGGAGGATGCTGTGGAGGAGCTGAGCATGAAAAAGGCCTGTGCCCCATGTGTGCATATGCACGTTTGCATATACACAGAATGTACTCTAAATCCTAAAGTAATTTACTCTAAAGTAATCATGAGACTGTCAGTATATGGACTCTACTGTCCGATCTGATTGGGTCGTACACACAAAGACACTTTACAAAGTGTTGGCAATTGAAAGGTGTTATTATTTTTATAAAGCAAACCATAAACAACAGGAACATATTTGAGGCAAACTGGTCCATCCCTGAGTACTCCATTTACCATCATAGGAGAGGAACCCAGTTATGTCTAAAAGGGAGACCCATTCACCTGTCCCAAATTACCCATGTCCATTTTTGTGTCGCTGGGTGGTCATGCTATGGATCAGGTGTTAGCAGGTGTGTCTTTCTCTAAGCAAGTGTGTCGCCAGCTCAGACCAGGAGCAGCATAACTATGTTTGTTCTCGGTCTCACTGTCTCTTTCTGTGGCTTTCCTTGGCTGGGTCTGGATCCCTGTGCTACTGGTCTAACTCTCAACCAGCAGCTTTGGGACAACCTGAACCAGTGCCAGGCTTAGGCTGACATTATGACAGCTCTTGATGCAAAACTGTTTACAGGCAACACCTGTACAGTGAAGGAGTGTTGGTGGTTCAACTGTTAAGCCCTTGACTGCTAATTGAAAGGCTGGCGGTTCGAACTCACTCAGAGGCTGGATGTTTTAGGATTTCCTAATGGATGAAATTTGGGGTATGAGAGACAGGAGCCAAGGAGGACACCAACTTTTTTGGTCTGTGTAAATAGGAAGATGGAACTGATGTCAGCAAAGATGGGGAAGACTCTGGAAGGAGCATACTTGAGAAGGGGACAACATAGGCATTAGGTTTCAGAAATGTTATATCTGAGATGTCTATTAGAAATGTGAGTAAGTTTTTTGAGTTGTCAGTTGGCTATATGAGTCTAGCCTTTAGGGAAAAGTCTGGGCTGGAGAAATAGATTTGGGAGGTGACACTATATAAATTATATTTAAAGCTTTGAGTATGGATGAATTCACCAAGGGAGTGATTAGCTACAGAAGAGAGAGGAACAAAGACTGAACCCTGGACCCTCTAGTGCTAAGCAATCTGATGAGACCACACTCTAAGAGCAGACTGGAGGGTTCTGGTACTGTCTATAAAGCACACAGATCAGGGAGTCTAAACTGTACTGTGCACAGGAATCACCTGGAAATCTCATTAATATCCAAAAGGTCCGGAGTAGAGCATGAAACTCTGTATTTGTAACAAGGTTGATGCTGATGCCGCTGGTCTTCAGAGTCGTCTTCTAGTAGCAAGAATGTAGACCAGCAATTCCCAACATGGATGTGTATCAGCCTCAACAGTAGGGTTTGTTAAGTAAGCAATTCCTGGGTCCTATCCCCAGTATGAAGCCCTGGTGGTGCAGTGGTTAAAAGTTTGGCTGCTAACCAAAAGATTTGCAGTTCAAATCCACCAGTCACTCCTAGGAAACTCTATGGAGCAGTTCTACTCTGTTCTATAGGGTCAGAATCAACTCGACAGCAACAGATTTAGTTTAATTCATCAATTAGTTTGGTGTGTTCTTGAATGTATATACATGGAATCATCTGATATCTACTCTTTTGTGTCTGACTCTTTTTGCTGACTTTTTTTTTTTTTTTTGGTGGGATTCATCCACGTTTATGAGCATAGTGATAGTTCATTCATTTTCCTTTCTGTGTAGCATTCTGTGCTCCAGTTTTTATCTGTCTTCCTGTAGCATCTACCAAAAGACCTACTCAGCTTCTCAGGCTCTCAGTGACCACGCTCAACTTGACAAGTGGTTTAAAGCAGAGAATGTTACAAATATTGGACCCACACATCTGGGATTTCTTCTTTCTAAGTCTGGCTCCATCAAGTCCTCACTTCCCTGATAACTCTAGTGACGTCAAGTGGATGTTCTTACCACTTGACCAGCTTTTATAGTTGTTTTTGGAGACAGGATTGGTTTGAAACAGGCTAGTCTGCCATCATTGGAGTTGAAACCCTGACTAGTTTCTTTTAAGACAGATTTGGAATTTCTGAATCTCTACACCCTTGTGACTTTTGATTTCTGAGAGGAAGGGAGGAAACATGCATCAATTAACCTGTAGATTTCAGTCCAGAAATCCAGTAGGAAACGAAAGATCTAACAGACTTTGAACTTCCCCAAAATACAGCCCTTCCTTCACTTCTCACAGGTGAACAAGGCCTAGTCCGTAGAATTGCATTTTAAGTAATAGCTTAGAGCAGCCTGCTGTGAGGTGACGGCTACTCTGACTTCACAATCTAAAGACAAAAACAGATGGTAGGAACTTTCACAGTTTTAAGGAAGGATACCGTGTTGTCGGGAGGGTGTAGGTGTCTTGATTTTTTAATTGCTGCTAATCTGGCAATGTTAGATTGGAGGAGTTACTTAGCCCTGGTGTGTAATTGTGCATATTTGCACCAGCAGGGATATCATCTACAATATCTCACTAATTAGGCTGTGTCCCTGAGCCCCACCGGCAACAAGCAGGCCCCTCGGTGCCACCCAACCCTGGTCCAGCCTCACCCACACAGTGGATAGGCAGTGCCATGCACACCTGCTGTCTGTGATGCATACTGTGTACCAGGAGGGTCCCCAGCCACGTCACAGGGTGGTGAGCAGGGAAGCCCTCCTATCGGGGCAAGAGCCCTAGCACCACAATCTGCAGCTGCTGCCCAGCTCAAAGCCTTGGCTCAGCCACAGCATGTGGCGCCTCAAGGAGCCTCCTCCGCCCGTGACCGCCAAGTCCCTGAGTCAGCTGTCAGAACTGAGATTTGAGGCCAGAGCTATACAGTTCCTAAGTTCAGGGGTTGGGGTAGCAGAGAGCCTGGTCTGAGGGCATCTAGACTTAAGATCTGGGTACTGGGATCCAGAGGAGAAAGAGGCAGGATCCCAGGGTCTGCAGATACGAGCTGGGAAGCAGACAGGGGTGGCCCTGGGATCCTGGGAGATAGGTAGTCAGTCATCTAGAATGTGATGATTCCTGGGAGTAGGAGCCTCCATTCCCAGAAACAGCCACAGGAATAAGTGACAGGGACTCAGGAGTCCAAGGTCCCATCCTGGGTATTGAGGCATGAGATGTATTTCTGGGGACAGCTCCAGAACTGCAAACTAACTGTTAGGATCTGGAGATCTTGCTCTGCACTGAGGCCAGAGTCCATCCACGGTCACTCAATGGGAGAAGACATCTATGTCAGCGTGGATTTGGGGAAACACTTCTCATCTGAATCTGACCCTGGATGGGGGCGCCTCCTTGTGTGCAGACCCTTGTCCTGCTACTGGGAGCCCAGGAACACTGGAGAGGTCCAGGCTGAAAGGGTAGACGGGGAACTCTGGTCGTTAGTCTTCAGCCTGTAGCCACACGGGGGCGCAGCCCATCCGCTCTTGGATTCAGGAGGGGTCTGGGCTGTGGTCTGAGTAGGGCAGAGAAGGCTGACCCTGAGGCTGGGCATCCATGGAGAAATGAAGATGCCTTCTAATCAGCCCTAGAATCCACAGGGGTCAGGCTCCGGGGTGGAGGAGGGGATGGAGGAAAGGAGAGCTCAGGAGCCCCTGTGCCATGTCTGAGGGGTTTCAGGGAGGAGATGGAACCTCAGAAATGGCACAAGGGGAGGGGGTTATTGCTTATGGGGTACTGAGTTTCGATTTACAGTG